TTTATCATACATAATAATCACATTTGCTAGATTAATTTGTTTACCTCTCATTAACTCAGACTGTTTCCTCTTCTCACTGCTTTCCCCAGTATTTCCTTCCCCATCTCCAAAAAGTCTTCTGTTTTCTACTATCTGTCCTTTATTTTACTTTTCAATTATTCATATTTTGGATTTCTCATATAAAAGAAATCATACTATATCATTTTGTGTGTAATGTATTACACTTAACATTATTGTCTCAATTCCCAACCACTTTCCTTCAAATGACACAAGTTTATCTTTCTTTATGACTAATACTCTTTACCTGCTTCTCTATTGGACATGTAGGTTATCTCCAAATTTTAAATATTTGAACTGTGCTGCGATAAACAAGAGTATGAATGTATCACTGTCGTTCTAGATCTTTTAATTTAGGGGAAAGATACCCAAGGGAAGGAATAGATGGATCCATTTAGAAGTTTTACTTTTAGATTTTTGATGGAAGAATCTCCATACTGATTCACATAGTGGTTGTACTAGTTTACATTCTCATCAGCAGTGTAAAGGGATCCTTTTCCCCTATTTCCATGCTAGCATTTTTTTTTGTGCCCCCGATGGTAGTCATTTCACTGCTTTAAAATGGAACCTCAGCATTGTTTTGATTTGTATTTTTCTAATGGCTAAGAATGTAAATATTTTTTCTTATATTTTTTGAGCCATTTGTACTTCTTTTGCATATTTCTTCCTTCCTCATATTTGTTCATTTTTTGTTTGTTGGTGTGGTCTAGTTTTTAGCAAATCCCTTATATATTCTAATAATTAGCATTCTATTGGAGGAGTAGCTGGCAAAATTATTTCCAATTTTGTGTGTTGTTTATTCACATTTTTAATTGATTCTTTTGTTTTGTGTAAGCTGTTTAATTTAATATAATCTCATTTGTTGATTGATGTTCTTTCTTTCTTCACACTTTGCTTATTTACTTATTGAATACATGCTCTTGCTATACAGTTCAGACTTGTAGTGATCCTCCTGTCTCAGCTTCTCTAGTGTTGGAATTACAGGCATGCACCACAACACCTGGTTTCAGGGTTGGTGTAGCACACAATACCAGAGATCAAACTCAGGTCCTTGCACTTTCTAGGCAGGTGTGTAGACCACTGAGCTCTCTCCCCAGCCAAGTGTTATTCCTTATTCTATTGGAATTCTACTCAGAAAATCCTTGCCTATGCCTGCTTCTTCAAGTGTTTTCCCTGAAGATTTTAATATTTCTGCTTTTATATGCAAGTCTTTGATTCATTTTGATTTTATTTTAGTACAAGGTGAGCAACATGGGTCTGGAAATAGTATGTTGCATATGTTTAACCAGTTTTTCTACTGAATTTTTAAAGAAACTATTTTGGTCCATTATTTTCTTTTAATCCTTTTTACAAAAACCACACACACACACACACACACACACACACACACACACACGTATTTGTTACAGAGTCTCACAGCATAGTATGCAGCTTGGACTTGTAATGATCTCCTGTCTTCAGCCTCCCCAGTACTGGGATTACAGGTGTGCACCTGTAATGCATACATGCATATAATGCCCATACTCTGTGGCCAGCTCAGCGCACCTGGGGGTGGGAATGCAGCTACATGTAGTGCCAGGGATTGAACCCCTGTCCTTGCACTTGCCTCCGTAGGTGCCTAGTCTGCTGAGCTATTTCCCTGGCCCCACAAAAAAGTTTTTATTTATTTTATCTATTTTTTATGTATTTAGTACAGGGTCTACAGAGTATCACTATGTAGATTGGACTCATAGTGATCCTCCTCTTTTCATCCTCCCAAGCATTGGGATTACAGGTGCACGCCACCACTCCAAGTCTACAAAAATATTTTTAAAATGTAGTATTGACAGTGAGTATCAGTTCTCTCCTTTTGATTACAATATCCACTAGAACAAGAATTGTAGTTTTCATTTCAGTGGTTCTTACTAGCCTCACCTTGTCCTCCCTGAGTAATCAGGATGAATATGTTCTATAATAGTGGACCTTTTGTGCACAGAATTATGACAACCATAGTAACAGATTGGTATAAGGGCCTGAGCACTTATGAAACAAAATTATCTTTTCATTTTTCTAGCTTTGTTCAGGTACTATTATTCCTGTAAAAGCTTCAAAAATTAAGCAAAAACAGATGCACATCTCACACTCATATACAATTGTAAAAAAACGTCTTTAGCTGGGGGTATCTTTATATCAGTGAAAAAATTCTTGCCTAGCATGTATGTGGCCCTGCATTCAATCATCAGTATTTAAAGAGAAAAACTTTATGGGGGCAAAGAGATAGCTCAGTAGATCAAGTGCTTGTCTGGTAAGCACAAGGGTGTAAGGTCAATCCCTGTTTCCACCAGAGAGAGAGAGAGAAACTTTATACTTCAATGAAATATAAATCTCACCAATTCATAAGGGACTCTAATATTCTTAAAAATTATTTGCCTCTGTTTCCATATCTCATTCTCAATACAAATACATACTTTACAGAGACATATTTTGCCAAATCATAGAATGATTATTTCATTTTTGTTTATTTATTTTTTAGGATTATTAGTTTAGGAAAAGAAATTTTTAAATTTTTGTCTATAGGATGAAAATTAGCAGTTTAGGAGGTCAGATATTTAATTTCATGTGTGGATAAAAAGAATGCTTTGACCATATGATCTATTACATTTTATATTACTAATGTTTTGAGAATAATAATTAAATGTGACTTGAGCTTATGATAACCAACCAGTTTATCAGAGTTCAGTGGCAAAAAATAATATTGAATACTTCTAAAAATTGGTTTGCTATCAGCCTGTTTTGTTAGTTCTTACTATCTACATATTAGCCACACATTTAAGATACCTTTCATACTCAGTGTACAAAACTCTAATATTAATTGCTTCTGATTATGTAACATTTGAGACAATATTGTTTTCATATTGTCTATAGTATTTTAAGAACAAAACATAAAAGATAGTTTTTTTATCAAAATATACCAGATATTAAAAATCCTTTTCTGATAGATTAAGATGCACTTTAACTATCATTTATATAAAATCAAGATTTAAATGTTACTTTTAGGTATTTTGCAATAGGACTTTAATGTATATCTATCTATCTATCTATCTATCTCACATATGACAGTATTTTTATTTCATAATACATTCTTAATTTGTTTCACTTTTGTTTGCACAAGCCTGAGTTGTAATTATGATGAAAATTATCTTTTGTTAGTTTTTATATTTATTGATTTATCT